CATATGCCGAAGAAGTTGGTGCTTCGTTCCGCTGTGGCAACCCCGGATTAATAAAAGGACTAAGGCAAAAAGAAAATGAATGAATGAATGAATGAATGAACCCAACCATTCAGTCAAAAAATGTATTTTAAATTTAATTAAAAAATAAATAAATAAATAAAAAGTACAATAACTTTGGGTATCTCCATATTTGACCAACATTAATATACAACACCCCAGTAGCTTATTTTATTTAGTTTTGTTATGTATAATCAGATTCTGAATGAATCCTGATCTCAGTCTATTTAAAGGCTTTATTGGAGAATGGCTGTGCGTAGGCAGGGGATCTTTTAACATCTTATTTTATCATTATTTAGTCCTGCAAAGGTCATGTGTAATATTTCCAGCATAACAAGCGTGTGTGTGTGTGTTATTTATGCAGAGGTTGATGTATTCAGGCATTTAGAGCAGGGGCACCAGAAGCCCATTCATCATTAGTGGGTTTGTTTTAATGTGGCCCTCCTCTCCGGGGCCCCGCTCACTGTTTCCAGGCTCCTGACGCTTCAAATCGGCCAGCACAGACAGATGTGTCGTCCTCCACCTGCTAACCCCTCATCTGTAATGCGCTCTCCTCCGGCGGCCATGTTGTTCAGTGTTTTAGCATGGATCGCATGTGTTTTTCCCCCAGTGCGAGTATTTGAAACGAAGAATAGGAAGAGATTTCAATTCTGTGACTGGAAATGTTCCGTGTCTGCCTGTGATTGGCTTTTTTATTCCTTTATTTAATAATCAGGTCTTCTTATAGCGTGAATTTTATTTTATTGTTAATTTCTTTATTTTACTTTTTTTGTCACTTTTGATCAATTTCTATTAATGTAGTAATGTATTCAGGCCTTCGTGTTTAGCTGAAATTTTGTTTAGTTTTATTTTGTTCTGTTTTCTGTCTTATGTGTTGTTTGTTTTGGTTTGGTTTGTTCTGGGCTCCGTTCTTCGTACTTCGCTTAAATGATCTAAGATTATTTGACAGATCCTTTTATCCTTGATAACTCTGGCTAATTTGGTTCTTCAAACAAGTTTGCAAATAAAATTAAAATATTTAGATGAACTGAGCTGAGATCGATGCGTGTGTTGTGAAGGACAGATCTATCAATTCTCGAAATCATGATCAGCAATGCAATGATTGGCTGATGGCACAGCATTGTTATGACATCATCTGATTAATATTTAATTATCTTTGTGAGCAAAACTATATACGTTTTGTAGTAAACGGTTTGTCAAATATGATACGCAATAACCTTCCACATTTGTTGTGAGTATTTAGCTATTTATTTAGTTTTACATTTAGAGCAGATTTCCGTTATTATAGCAGCCATGACCTATTCTTAATGGGTGTAAGGAACAACTGTCTGTTTAAATAAATTTTGCATCAAAAAAGCTTTTTGATATTAGTAAAGGTGTCTGCAACTTTCGCAAAGCATCAAATCACCATCATATTAGCTGTCAAAACATGTGCATGACTGTAAAACTGGTGAATATTGTGCTATTATCAATGATTATTGATCTATTACACACAAATTGTACTAAAGCTGGTACCTTAAAAAAAGTGTTTGTATCAAAAAAGTCCATATTAATAAATGTTTTCTTTGAACCCCATGGAGAGAACCACCCCATGTCAGTCTTCATAATATATATAATGTATATATATATATATATATATATATATATATATATATATATATATATATATATATATATATATATATATATATATATATATATATTTTTTTTTTTTTTATTATTATTATTTACGGTATTCCAAAGTGTAAATAACTATTACTGTAAGAAGATATCAGCATTCTGTAAATACTTTCAGTATTACCTTTGCTTAAAAAGACCCGATCTAATCCTGTTTATATGAAATAAAACTGCTCCTGAGCCGAATTGAACTACCTGAACTGTTGCTATGAAAACAACTCTTGGATGAGTTTTGAAGAACGAAATGATCGTGTCAAATCGTTATTAACCAAATCCAGTTAATTGAGTAATCTTAATTGAGTAATTTTTGTTTTGTGGTGTGTTTTTTATTTTTCTCCTGTGTTTTTATTTTATTTTTTTTTTATTTTGTGGTGTTTTGTGTTATTTCGTTTTGTTATTTCGTTTTGTGTTTTTGTCTTGTGTTTTTGTTATTTTGTTTTATTTTTAGTTTTGTGTTTTTTGTTATTTCGTTTTGTGTTTTTCGTTTTGTGTTTTTTTATTTTGTTTTGTGTTTTTGTGTTTTGTGCTTTTTGTTTTGTGCGTTTTGTTTTTTGTTATTTCGTTTTGTGTTTTTTGTTATTTTATTTTGTGTTTTTTGTTTTGTGTTTTGTATTTTTAGTTTTTTTATTTCGTTTTGTGGTTTGGTTTTGTGCTTTTTGTTTTGTGTTTTTGGATTTTAGTTTTGTGTTTTTGGTTTTGTGTTTTTTGTTTTGTTTTTGTTACAATATTAGTCCCTTTTGATTGATTAACTGAACCTTTATAAATATTAGCAAAAAAAAAAACAGAATGATAATATAGCGAAAGTGCATGTTATAAATTGCTATTAGATTTTTAGTTATTCGTTTTTAAAACTCATTTGTAAGTCGCTTTAGTCAAAAGTGTCTGCTAAATGACTAAATGTAGTTACTCACTTGTGTATTATAAATGTAGTTTATTCTAACAGTTATTATTATTGCTATTGTTTTTTTATTGGTATTATTATCATCCTGCGTCAGCCATGTTGTGCAGTGTTTTATCACAGATGGCTTGTGTTTTTCCCCCAGTGTGAGTTTATGAAGCGAGGAAGAGGAAGGGGGTTCAGTGCTGTGGCCTGTTAATGGCTGGAAATGCTCTTGTGTCTGTCTGTGATTGGCATTTCTGAAGCATCATCAATAAGCTTTTATTGCATCCGCATACCATTATCTTCTTCCTGGCAAGGGCTCAAATGAAATCGAAACTGAATTAAAAGAGGGTTAGCGTGAACTCTTCACAGTCTGCTGCTCGGGTTTATATCACAGGGTTTTGGCCTTTGGGAAGAGAGAGGGAAAAGTGTTGTGCTCCACTTTTGCAGAGGGCAGAAAACGCTCTGCCATTTGATGCTGTTAGAATCAGATGGTAAAATGACACCGGGAAGCTCAAATGATTTCATGGCAACTATAGTATGAGATAAGTATAGAATAAGGGTGTGCAGTTTTATTTCCTGATGCTCCAAAGTGTGAAATGTCGAAGTTTCATTGAGACAGACTTAAATTTCAATAAAGTATTTTTTATATTCTAGTCTTAATAATAAAACTTTTGTTTTACTTAATTGCTGGCGGTTAATTTTTTCTATGAAAATCGCACCCACAAAAGACAAAGGACTTGTAGTTTGTGGTATTAATTGCCATTATTATTAGAAACCACACAGGCTTTTAGTATCAGTCTAGGTGTCACTCAGCCTGCTTGTGGTTGATTCATCAGCCAAAGAGAGGCTTTAGCATTTAGTCAGAATATTGATTATTGACTTTCTAAAGGGCTTAAAAAGTATGAAGGAGTGGAGGATGTAGTTCATCAACATGTAGATGTTCTTTTTCAGGTAGGGACTATAAAATATGGAATTTTGTAGGCAATATAAAGTTTAAATAAACATATGTGTTTAAATTTATTTGTCAGTGTTACACCTTTAATAAGAAATGCACTAAATAAAATTTTTTGCAAAAGAATATATACTGTATATAATTGCTTTACTTAATAAACTTTTCTTTTTTATAAAAAACTAAATAATTTTGATAAATTTTTAACTGATTAAGCAAAATTTAATTATTATTTATTTATTTTTGTGATTTAATTAATTGTAATTTAATTTAATTGTAATTTTATTTTATTTTATTTTATTTTATTTTACTTTATATTTTTTTAATTACTGTGTATTACACATGATAATCGCTTATAATTAGAATAAAATATGTAACATCTATTATGGAGATTAGCATGAAGTTTATCAATACATAAATGTTACATAAAAATTAGACTCTTTATAATTTTTTCTTTTTTTTACATAAATTTAATTTGAATCTTTGAATCCCTATTTTGATTTTTTTAATAAACCACCACTAAAAAAATAAAACAATGTAACCCTCAGCATATGTATTTGGTTCACACAAACCATCTACTTTAAAATTATTTGAAAATTAAAAATATTATGACTTCAATTAAAAATTTATTTTAGAATCTGCTCGATTTGAATTCCGTACCGGTATGTGTTCTTTTGTGCAGGCTTAAATGCCATGAAATAATTTGTAAGTTACCGGTAATTATTTAGTTTAATAAATTTAGTAGAACTATTCTAAGAATTAATTATTCCATTTCACAATTATTATTAAAGTATATCTTTATTTAAAACAAGGATAAGCATTAATAAGATGTGGTCATGGAAGTAAATTTGTCATTCAAATTATGTTCAGAGCTCCGTAGTTTAAAATAGGCTAACAGTCAGTTAAACAATAATGTAAGATAACACACACAGTTGCTTAAATAAATAGGCTAGAAAATACACAGTTGATCACTTAGACCTATTAAAATATTATTTAAAAAACTGTAATAGAAGAAAAATGCACAAGAAAGAATACCGCTTTATAAGGGAAACTTTTTTTTATCAAAGTGCTTAAATTTTAAACAGTTATTTAAGATTTTTTAGTTACCAAAAAAAAAAAAAAAAAGACTAAGGATAAAGGATTACCGGTGAGCAAGTGCACGACCATGGAACAGAATGCTTAGCGGAGCGTCCCTCTACTCAGCTCCTTTCACATGCTCTGGCTGCTACAGTATATTAGTTCACTATGTTACATAACTGCCTCCTGCTGGCTATCTATTTCTTGTGTTAGACCATGTTGTGCTGTGCCGTGCAGTACTGCAGTATCATGTGAGATCACTTTAATTCACTCGCGCATTATCAGTAGCCATATCTGTGAAAATTTTCTGCTGTTAACTCACTGAAAATCGTTTTTTTCTTGTCTTTTTTCTTAAAGGTTGTTTACAAAAACAACGATGTAAGACTTGAGCTGTCTCGACTGGCCAAGCTGGGCGACCCAAAGATGAAGGTGAGCGGTGTGGTGGCCTTCAAATGTGAGAACGTGGCTACTCTCGACCCTGTGACTTTTGAGACGCCTGAGTCATTCATTACCCTTGACAAGTGGTCCGCCAAAAAAGCCGGCTCCATCTCTTTCGACTTCCGCACCACTGAACCCAACGGCCTGCTCCTCTTCAGCCATGGAAAACCCAAACCCCAGCAACAGAAAGACCCTAAGAGCCCTAAAACATTGAAGGTGGATTTCTTTGCCATTGAGATGCTGGACGGCCACCTCTACCTTCTTCTCGACATGGGCTCAGGCACCACCAAAACTAGAGCTGTCAACAAGAAAGTCAATGACGGAGAATGGTACCACGTGGACTTCCAGAGAGATGGAAGATCAGGTAGAATATGAATTTATTTCTTAAAGATATTCAAATGTGTAGCTTTGTTTGATGTGTGATTTAATGTCAACTGAAAGATGAAGACAGGGCGAGGCATATTAAGTAGCCCCTCTATTTTTCAAACCGAAAAGCCAATAGCATTTCGTTTTAAATCAGATGTCTGCCAGTCAGTTTGTCTAAGTATCTTATCATTTCTCTGCTTTAACCCTTTTATGCATACAATCACATTGGTGTGATCAGTCTAGGCTAATGCCTGGAGCTAATGATTGTGCTGGTGTGATTAAAACATTCAATGCTTCGCGTGATAGGCTGCTAAATTCAAATCTGCTTTCCCGCAGTGAGCTAGAGAAAGATGCAGCGCTTGTCATAAAGCACAATTGATCATTGTTTTCAAACAAATAATGTTTATTTTAGGTTCCAGACATTTAATTACCTGTGCATACTAGCAAATCCTACAATTTATGGTTTGTAAAATACTTGCTGATGTTTGTGGACATCATAAGTCTGAAATTTTTTTGTCAATTCTAAACTGACTATTATTAGCACTCGCTAGATATTCTTTTACTGTTTTTCCTTTACCAAAGCTAAATTAGTCTTTTCATGGCATTTACTGTATATATTGTTGCTCTCTGGTGACCTGAAATGCTTCTGTTATCCTCATTTGTGCGCCACTTTAGATAAAAGCATCCGCTAAATGACTAAATGTAAAAGTAAATGTATGGAGACGGCTATATGAATTATTTTTAAGCATAATGAGATGGCGTGCCTTATTCAGATCAGATACAGGTTACTACACCATTTACTGTATTCTTCTTCTAGTTAAACAGCCACTTACTTTCATGTATGTAGGGAGAAGTTGTAGAATTAAAATGTTGCAAATCCAGCAGCTCCCTTAGCTGGCGAAATAATATGATCACTATTAAGCTGTTTCTAGATCATGTTTGAGAATCAGAATATTTGCAATTGTACAGTATAATTAGGAGGTTTGTCAATATTTGAAAAAAGGGAGAAAGAAAAACAATAAATACACTATAAAAAGTGTTTAGTTGACTTTACCTTATAATAGTGAGTAAAGCCATTAACTTAATATTATTAAGTACACTGTAAAAAGTGAATAGTTACTTAAAGCGAGTAAACCAATTGCCTTAAAAGCAACAAGTTGACTTTACAATAATATTGTAAGTAAACCCATTGTAACTTGGAACTGTTAAGTTGAATTTTTATAATTATGCCAATTGTACTTACTTTTTTAATCCCTTTTTACAGTGTCATACTATTTTAGCATGTCTGTTTTTTAATAATTACTGCAATTATTACAATATGGTTGCTTCATTAAGTCTATAACATCCACAATTATAGCCAATATTGAATTTAAAACACACACTGGAGTCTGGAAGAACAGATTTATTTTAGTTACTGTCATTTTGCTAGATACAGAAAAGCTGGAAAAGAAAAACAAAAATAATAAATGTGTATTGGAAAAAGTGATTAGGTTATTTTTATTTAAAATAAGTGAGTACAATTTGCATAATAATAAAAATTAAGTGAGCTTAACAGTTCCAAGTGACAATGGGTTCACTTGCATTATTTGTGTAAAGTCCGCTTGTTTCTTTTAGGCCAACTGGTTTACTCGCCGTGTAAATGGACTATGCATAACTATGAACAATTAAGTTAAGGAAGTTTGCATGTTCTTTACGCGTTCATGAGGGTTTCCTCTGGGTGCTCCGGTTTCCCCCACAATCCAAAGACATGCGATACAGGTGAATTGGTTAGGCTAAATTGTCCGTAGCGTATGAGTGTGTGAGTGTGTATGGATGTTTTCCAGCTGGAATAGTTGCAGCAGAATTATTTTTCTATAATTTTTATAATTTAAGTAAAATCAACCTGTCACTTTTAAAGCAATGGATTTACTCACTTTTTAAAGTAATCACTTTTTACAGTGTACATAAATTATTTGATGGGGTCTGTCATGTGAGAAACATGAATAAGTCGCCATGGTAAATTTAAAGTGACGCATTCTGAATAAAACCTCACACAGGGTGGTCACATAGTGGCAGTATTTTGTGTAGAGTGGTTCAGATTAAATACATTGTGTGGTCTGCACAAACATTCATTCACTAAAATGGAAAACATATTTACTTTATCTGATTATTTCCTCCCGCTATAAAGTGCCACTCTCTACTGTATATAGAAAATTGTAATTTTGCCACAGGGTAAATTTTAAACAGCATAGTAGCTTATATGGTGAATTTCCCCCCTCTGGGCTTGTCAGAAAGGTGAAGGCACATGAACACAGCTCCTATAGGGTTCTTTCCCACATTTCAAAACGAATAAATGTGGAGGAGTTCAAATAAACATATTGTCAGCTATCATTTACTATTTTCTTATGTTTAGGCAAACCCTCTATGAATGCTTGCTTAAGATCCTTGCACACAGTGTAGACGTGAACGACAAAATCCAGAATGGCATCTAATTTGATTCACTTCGTCTTGCAGCAGAAAGCACTTTATGACAAACAAAATACTGAATACGAAGAGACAGAATATTAAGACAAATTGTGGCAGATGATTGTGGAACAGCTATATATTGCTCTGGAAAATCCCCACAGCTCCTTGATAAAGTGGTGGAACTCGTCTCATTCTCTTTGCAATCTCAGGATTTAATTGGCCCAATATTTCCTCTTTCTTTTTTTTCTTGATATAATATAAAATAAATTCATTCAACTTCCTTCGGCTTAGTCTCTATTTCAAAGGTCACCACAGCGGAATAAACCGCCAACTATTCCGTCATATGTTTTACACAACGGATGCCCTTCCATCCGCAACTTGGTTCTGTGAAACACCCATCCACTCCCTCTCGCATTCACACACATACACACACACACACACACACACCATGCCACCCATAATATAAAATTATTAATAATAATAATTCCTTAAATTTATATAGCACTTTTTTCGACATTTGAAGGGCTTTTCACATTTTTGGCAGTAATCTTCTCATTCACCATCAGTTTTATTAAAAAAAAAATCATTCTTGCAGCTTAAAGATTTTATTTATTTATTATTTATATTATTATTATTATTAATATTATTATTATTATTATTATTGCAAATTGTCAAAGGGATGGTCAACAATTACAATTATATCATCATTTGCTTAATGTTAAAAACCTGTTTGATTATCTTTTTTTTTTCTCTTGAGGAATATACTGAATCATTCTGAGAAGATAACAGCCATTGACTTTCATTGTATTTTTTGTTTCTAACGTCCATTGCTTTGTTGTTGTTTTTTTCAAACATTCCTCAGAATAAATTCCTTTAATACATAAAAACTTTAATACAAAAAGGGCCCTATCATACACCTGGCGCAAAAAGGTGCAAGATGAGCATGGCACGATTTGTTGCTATTTTTCAGACCAGCGCAACCCTAATTTTCACGTTTTTGCACCACATTGTTTAAATAGCAAATCTAATTGCGCCACTTTGTAGACTCATACGTGTGCTTGTCTATAAAGGAGGTGTGTTAAGGTGCATTGTTGGTGCGTTGCTATTTTGAGGAATGAAATAGACCGCGCCATTGACCGACTAAAAGCTGGTCTAAAGTCCAGGCAGAGAGCAGTTATGTGCCTATGCAATCCTAAACACTTAAACATTACTTAATACACGCTAGATGTACAGCAATACATAAATATCTTCACAAATGACAAAAAAATTAAGAATTAAAATGTTACAAAAATTTTATTTTTTACATAAATAAAAAAACCACTACCTTTATGCCTTTGAATGTCAGGGGCTTTTTTTGTTTATTCATGACAATCTGCATTTGTATAATGTTATTATTTTTAGCAGTATTATTTATTATGTGCTAATATATATTTGTTTTAATAAAAACAAGTTTAGATTTGTCCATCTGTCGGGTTTTGGAGACGTATGCGTCAGTATAAGAATATGTTTTTTTGACAACACTTCATTAATATTGTTCATTTTTTTGTTTGTTGAAAATTAGAACTGAATTTGTAAATAGTCTTGAAACAAATTGCTGCGCTTAACAAACTAAATTAAATATGCAAACTAATGGACGTCTTCAATGGAGTGAGTTTCCACCGTTTTCTTATCCACGAAGTAAAGTTAAGAGTTAAGAGTAAAAATAAAATAAAGAGAAAGTAAAGAGACCGAATGGAGGGGGCTCATTCTTATTCTCTTTATCCAGATGGTCTGTTTAACTGTTTTCTCTGCAGTGAATCCTTCAGTTTTTCAACGTACAAATACCGCTATGTAGACTGCAAATGCATCATGACATGAATGTCATGAAGGGAATGTGAGATGCGACTCTGATTGGTTTAATGCACATTATGCTCAAAACACACCTATAACTCATAAAGAGAATAAGTATAACCCTGTTAGACCATGTGTGATGGCGCAAGCTGTATTTTTTCGTCCTTAAATTGCAAATGGATTCGGACACGCTCTTAATATTTTTGCTCCATGCGCTTTAGACTTTCCGCCTAGATTGTAAAATAGAGCCCTTAATCTTTAAAACAATCTTTTTAACCAAAAAGCATGATAAATACTAAAAATGTTAATACAAAATTGATGACACAATGTGCAAAGTGTCTTAAATGTGAATTAGTAACTGACTTTAACCATGATTTTAACATACCAACAGGACACTTCTGATACTAGTGATCATTTGATTGGTCAGAAGATCCAATGAGAAATTATTGATTGAGAAACTGCAATATTTAAATGCTTATAACTTCTAATTGGAAAATGTGTCTGTGTGTTTTAGAGCACACGAGCATATAGCCTAACAACCTTAAGATTAACATACATATACAATTTTGATACTTTGATTTCAGAGAGACTTTAACTTCACAGCTGTTTCTTTGTTCTTGTGATACGTGTTTGATGCATTCAATGCACAGTTAGAAGTTGGCTGGCGTTCAAGGTCTACGAAAAATATTGACATAACGAAGACAGCAGTGTTCTCTCACGCTC